CATATTTCATGTGTAAATACATCTTTCTTGCTAATGTCTGAGTGTAATGTTAAAAACTACAAACTGTGTGTGTTTTTAAATAAATACTGTAATGATAATAGTCTTACATCACTAATGGCAGCAGCCCTGTGTATTTGTTAAATACGATTCAGAAACGTCTCACTAAACAAAACATAGTTTAATTTAAATTGAATGTAAGCCACGTGTTTAATAGTGATTGATGTTGTACATTATTTCAAGTTTTTATACTTAGTGTAATGTAAAATAACTGAACATACAATCTTAAAGGGTTAAAATGACAATTTTAATGTCATTAAATACATTTTACAGCTGATGTTACTTTAGGTGAAGTACACTTTACATGTATCAGAGCTCGTGGTAGAGATAACAAACAACCTCCTTTGTTTTCCTCCTGTGTTGTTCTGCGCTAATCTGGAGGGAGATTAAAATGTTGCATTCAGGTTCAGTACTGGATTTTTTTTGTGATATGTGGGTGGCGGTGGTTGTGGATGTGGTGGTGGTGGGTGTCGTCTTTCAAATCCCCCCCTCAGGGAAGACCACATGACCCGGCATAACAGAGAAAGGCAGCAGCAGAGAGATGTTGGGCCCCGCCGGCTCTGAGCTCTTCAATGAAAACCACATGTAGGACAGAAGGAGGGAGGGAGGTGGGAGGGTGAGGAGGTGGGTGTAATGACTAAAAACCCAACCTCCGAGACAGAGAGGAGGGAGTCACTCGGAGCGCTGCTGACATTCCCAACAAGCATTGCAGGGGAGAAAACTGTGTGTGATACATAACTCATAGAGAGAGCGAGAGCGAGGGATTGTGGGAGTGTGTGAGTGGACGTCAGTGTCGAGGTGAAGAACAACAAGAAGAGGAGAGAAAGTTTGGCTGGTGTGATCTGTTTTGTTTCTACCAGAAGAATAAGAGGCAAACATGTCCAACGCTCTGCTGAGGAGAAACTCCAGCAAACAGGGTTTACAGAACCTCATGAGGTATGTGCTCCAGCTTTAAAAAACAAAAAAAGATGAATATTTAAACACCTTTAATGTGTGTTTTCATATTTCTGAGAGTGTGTTTGTGTGATTAAGACGTCTGAATGGGAACAGTGGGATTACTGGGGGAGTGTTTTGGGTCACGCAGGGTGTATTTGGGGGGGAGATTTTGAATTAATCACAACAAAGGAGCAGATATGTGCTCACTAATCTTTATTATTCTCCCTTTAAAACGCAGCATGTTAAACATAATTAGTGCTTAATGATGCAGGAGGTGTTTGGGGAGAAGTGGGAGGTTTATTTTTTCTTTGAGGCAGCGGCGGACGCCCCGAGGCTTCGGGGAAGTGGTGTTGGTGACCTGTGTCAGAGGTGAAAGGTCACCTGAGACAGTCTTTTGTTTTGTGGCGCGTCCTGTCTGAAACAGATATTCGGTTTCCTGCGGTGTTGGTGGTTCGTAACGGAGGAGATAACGGCTCATTGTGCTGCACCGGAGAGGATTTCTGTGTCAGATTGTTATGAATACAGATGTTCAGCATCAAACTCAAGTTGTTAAAAAGGCAGAAAACTGTTCTAAGGGTTAATGTTTCTGTCAGGAATGTGGATAAAACGTAATTATTGATCCCGATGCTGTCATATTGGACCGTTATTTGTGTTAAAGGAGCGAGATAAGTGACATTTTGGGTGAAAATGAGTTATAT